CTTCGATTGAAGAAAGCCCGCACCAACGAAGAGTGCGCACCGCTGGACCCTTAGTAGCAGTTTGGCAAAAAGGATACTCCAATGCGCCGTTGGACTCTAATGTAAGAATAGTTTAAGAATGTGAAAAAGCAAGAGAAAGTAATTATATAAAAAAAAAATTATAATTTTTAATTAGTGTGATAAGTGAAAGTTAAAGCGAAATAACTATCTAAGTAATTTCTTTTTTAAATTTAAACAAGCAAGAGAAAGTAATTATATAAAAAAACAACAATTAATTAATTTTTAATCAGTGTGATAAGTGAAAGTTAAAAAGAAAAAAAACAGAAAATAAGAATTAAAGCGAAATAACTATCTAAGTAATTTCTTTTCCAACAAAGTAATTTGCTAAAGTTTTTCAATTCAATTCAGTGTTTATTGAGTGTATAATTAGAAAAAATCTTACAGACTAGAGTAAAATTAATAGGCGAAAAATTAAGAAGTACACTAGGTGTAAGCGTTCATAACTAAGAGCTTGTACAGCTCATAACAAAATAACCCAAAGAATTGGATTCGTTATCCAATTCTTATAACAAAAGAATATCTCTGCGATTCACTTCCGAAAGGGGGACCCTCCAGAGAATATTAAATTGAAATAAAAGAATAATAATTAATAAGTAAATTTTTATACTAAATCCTAAAATAAAAAAAAAATGGCACAAAATAACGTCGTTAGGCCTTCGCTTCTAACCAATGCTGGAGTAGCACCGCCAGGAATAAATCCTCCGGCACCTAACTCCAATGCTCCCCAACCTGTGAACGCCACCCCAGAATTCAGGGAGATTATAAGAAATCTCATGACTGAGATTCTACAAAGTGACGCATCAATTTTGTCTAGGGACAACATACAGCAAGTTATGACCGACCAGACCATAGACGAACGTTATAGGAATAACATCGCAGATATGGACAAGGTGCCAGACGTTGTCCGCTCCCTAAGGGAATTTAGCGGAAATCACACAGAATTTAGTAGTTGGAAGAAAAGCGTAGAAAGGATCCTGAAAATTTACGAGCCTAGCGTAGGCACGCCAAAATATTTCGGTATCTTGAACGTGATTAGGAATAAAATTGTTGGTAGTGCAGATGCTGCACTCGAAGCATATAACACACCGCTCAATTGGAAGGCAATCTCTCGTTGCCTTACAACGCATTATGCCGATAAGAGGGATCTCAGCACCCTCGAATATCAGATGACCTGTTTAATTCAAGGACGAAAGTCTGTCCAAGAGTTTTACGCTGAAGTCTACACACACCTATCCCTTATCCTTAACAAAATTTCGTGTATGAAAATCAATGACGAAGCCATGCGTGTTCTCACCGAGACATAT